AAGCTCAACATCCCAAGAACCAGGCCTCGGGAGAATCAAACTCTATGGCAAAGCGTCCTGGGTGAAGAATGACGGTGTGGAGGTGGATATGGCGTCGAGAGAGAGGGCGCAGAGTACGGGAAATGGTGCGGAGACTAGTGGGTTATGTATCAGATTGGACAACTGTACCAGAAAATGGAGGAGACGACTTTAAGTTATGCATGGAAACTCTCCTAGCACACCAAAGGGTCCCCGCCGTATACATCCTCTCTGCAGTAGGCGGATCGATCTACCCTGCACCTTCCATCTGAAGGCGGCAACGCAAGAGAGGTCCAATAAGCAAGCAAGCATCATATCCTTTTATGCAAGAGTATCGGATGTCAACTGTAGGAGCGCGTCATATTTCGAACAGCGATTATGACGTGGGGATGGAGAGGGTTGGGGATAGGGAGAGAGGGCTTTGTGCAGTGTCACCGAACGGAACTCGGAAGCCTGCTGTGGAGGAGCGCCGGAGCGAGTGGTGGTTGTCAGGTCGAGGCTCTCGTGAACTGCTCTGAAGCTAACTGTCGTCGAGGTCTGGTTTGCGTGGTCGAACTAAGGAAGGAGGGACGGGCGTGTTGCGAGTATCCCGACAGTCTGTCGTCGATCAAATGCAAGCTAACACGAACGCGCAGACATTGAAGGCCAAAAGAAAGGAGAGCGCGTATAACGACTTGGCGACCTGAGGCGCGTGTTGGTTCGTGGCGACGACTAGTGAACAACTCAAGCCCATGATTGCCAGGTCGAGGTGTGATGACGGCTGGAAGACACGAGTCGAGCTTGGATCGGATTAAGGACGTATGGACGGGGTCGTGTAACAGTTTTGACGCATCGGAACGAACCGTCCCCGGGCTTGCATGGAGGCGTCGGAGCAGCGAAGAAACGACGCGGTGCAGAGGCGACGAGTAGCGAATCCCGTGATGGTCGTGAACGGTTCCCACTTGTCATCGAGGTCCGTCAAGGAATGTAGTCAGTAAAGGCACATCGCGTACGTGATAATAGCGAGGAAGCAAACCTAGCTGGAATCATGGTAACACCAAACTTGCTCGCAGACAACAACACCCTCTCAGCTCCAGAGATCGAAGCAAAGGGAGAAGCGACAGGAGTACGAGTTGCAAGTGTGATGTGAGAGGAGAAATACAGGTCGGCAAATGCCGATCCAAAGTTACTCTTGCACTACTATGCTCTTAATCCTTAACAACCTCTAGTCAGACGACTTTACCGCCTCAAACTTGGAATTCGCGCGTTATTGTCGATAAAATCTCAATTGCATAATCCCAAAACAACAGTGAAATTCGTATCAAATAGGTGTACAGACACTAACGCACTACCAACCAGAAGAATGTAACCGATACGGAGCCCTATCAAGCGTCAGCACAAACCCACTTACACGCCAATAGAAAAAGCCCACCCCGAACAGGCGACAACGCGCCGACTCCATCTCCCAATGCGAGTAGCACATTTACTCACTGTAAAATCAATGATCAGCTCGATGACGCGTCAAGATGAACAATGCACTTACAGGAGCGACAAGGTGATGTCACCGTTGACCTTTGCCTGGATAGCAATCTCGACCTCGAGGTTAAGGTCAAGGCGCAACTTCAAAGCTGCAGGGGGAGCAACAGCCTGGCGCTCAGAGCGGCCGACGATCTGTCCACCGAGGACGGAGGAGTTCTGGGTAGGTGCGAATTGGGTTTGTTGGGAAGACATTGTAGATGCTGGATAGGATAGTGGGGTGGGGTGTCTTATATATTAGCCCATGGTGGGATCTTAGCTATAGGTGTGTCTTGTTGCGGGGTCCTCGGCGAGCTGGATTGAACATCCGGGAAAGCGCGCGTAACCATTGGCTGTAGTATTTCATATGAATATACAAGGAAGGTTGTAACTTTTTGCCTCGTTTTTTGATCTCGCAGGCCTCAATGTATACATTCCTGGGAACCGGGAACCCAAGAGTCGAGCCCTCTCTCCTCCTTCCTCCCATGACCACCGGTACCTCAAGTTTTTTTTTCTTTCTCTCTCGAAGGGTCCCCACTTCTAGGCTGTTTACGACAAGGCCCGCATTCCGTTCCTGCCAGCCAGGCAGCTCCCGTGCGTCGCCCCACGCCCAAATGGAGCACAAGAACACGTCCCCCGTCCGAGAGGCACCCCGGGTGCTCGCACCGCACACCGCACCTCGAACGTGTTTTGCAATGACAACCCATTACCACCGCCAATTAAACCCGGACCTCTCTACGCAGTCTTCTCTTCTCAGACGACGACGAGGCACCCGAGTTGTCGTTAAATGCACCGCGCAGCATCGCCCAATCATAACGTTGCTCGAACCCCGGGCCCGTGGTCGTTCTAAGCCAATGATCGCGCAATCCACAGAATACCGCTCCCCGTATGCTGGATGCACCACATTCCTAATATGGCGTGCACATACTCGTATAAAAGGATCGCCTGGCTGAGTGGTGGTCTTTAGCTTCAAAATGTCTGCCCCACAAACCCAATTCGCACCTACCCAATCCTCTTCCGTCCTCGGTGGACAGATCGTCGGCCGCTCCGAGCGTGCCCCCGCACCACCAGCATCCGTCAAGCTGCGCCTTGACCTTAACCTCGAAGTTGAGATCGCCATCCAGGCAAAAGTCAACGGTGACATCACCTTGTCACTCCTGTAAGTCGAATCCTCTCGCCTGGTGCGTACCTTCAGCTGATCATTTGGTTTATAGCGAGTAAATGTGCTACGCGCACATGGGAGGGTTGAGGAATCGCCCTTGACGCGTTCTGGTAGGTTTGGTCTGCTGAGCGTGATTCTTGGTGATGGCTAATGCGTATCTGCTTAGCGTCGTTTACCTTTCCTATGCCTCTTGTCGATGTTGTATTAGTGTAGTGCATACCAATGTCAATGTCGAATTTTATGGATTTCACTCTTGCCATGCCTTAATTTCTGCCCGATGGAAGTTATTCGCAAAGTAGCACTGGAAAAAATCCCTCCGTTTAGACACAGCTGGATCCTACCCGCCAGAATGTGATTTTCAACAGACAAAAATGCGTCCAAGGAAATACATTGCCGTCAAATTTCCTCTGTTACGAGATGATACACACAGACCACCCAATAATGGGTCGATGGCGTAGCTGGTTATCGCATCTGTCTAACATAGGATATTCCCACATTCGTGTCTTCACAGAAGGTCCTCAGTTTGAATCTGGGTCGACTCATGACTGAAGTGTATGGAGGATTTTTTATGGTGCTTTTTAAATTTTGGCTCAAGAGTGAACCCTGGTGGTCCGACACTCGACAGTGGAGCTTGGGGTACGGACAAGAGTTGCATATATGCATATGCGACCTAAAGTGCATATACCTTTTTTCGCTCTTCCCTATTTTGGGCTCTTGTGTTTCCTTTTTTGGACTCGAGCTCCTTAAGGTCCTGCTGCCATCACACGGGCTTGGGTTGAGACTTGATCATCTCGTGGCGCGTCATGAGGCCTTGCGCTGTTGGGGCCTCGAGTTTGAGCCTTGTGTGCAGTGAGCTCTCCGTCGCGTCGCCTATGCACGACTCTCGGTTCAAGAACTTGATCGCCTTTTCACAACATTCGGATTCCGATGGCATCCTGTCCCGGAACCGTGCACACGTACATTTCCTCACAAATCACAATACAGACTTGGCTTGTACCACCCCTTGCCTCGGCCTCGTTCCTCACAAAGATCGGACGCATCTAGCGCTTTTGATTGGATTTAAGGCACCGAGTGGAGAAGGCTTGCCGCTTTAGAGTGGAGGATGTTGAGCTGGTCGACGCTGGATCGTGCATGGAGGACTTTGGAGGACAATTTGGCGCTTCATCCGCACCCTTCTTCCGAGTCCAAGGTCGAGGAGTGTCGCGATCATCCCACTCCCAAAACAAACGGGAACATATACCAATGCGGCCATCGAGTCACGCGACTTGCTGGTGCGGAGTGGAATGTGCCTACGAGCAGGGACAGATTCGTTGTGCCTCTTTTCCACCATAGCTGATGTCCTCTGAGTCTCCCAGCGCCGAACGGCATCGCGGTGCCGAGTTTGAGCCTAGTGTGCAGGTGGACTTTTCGTCGCGTCGTCTATGCACGTCACTCGTTTCTGAGACCAACTGGGTCGCCTTTTGGCAACATCCAGATCCCGACATCATCCTCTCCCAAGAATCCGTGCACATGCACATGTACATTTCCTCTCGCCACGATACAAACTTGACTCGTAGCACTCCCTGCCTCGGCCTATGGCATCCCTCAACATGATCGGACGCGTCTAGTGCTTTGGGTTGACGCTGGATGCCGGACTTTGGAGGATGAGGTACTTACTCTTGGGTCAAGGATCTCACGTTCACATCCACACACTTCCTCCGAGTCCAAAGTCGACCAGCATCGTGATCATCTCACTCCTAAAACAACGGGAACATATACCAATGCAGCTATCAAATTGCGCAACTTGCTGGTCCAGAGTGGAGGAATACGATGAGCAGGTGTACGCAACCTCAGCGTTGTCTCGAATTTATGATCCCGCTCTCGGACTTCCTCTGCCTCTTCTTCACCACAACTGACTCTGTCCTCCGAGTCTCCCAGCGCCGAGCGGTGGATTCACGCGCATCGTCATCCCTCCCAATACAAAAATCGGCTGTCTCTCGCCAAGAACCTAAGTCTGCATTCCCTGATGTAGTAAGGAAATAGACATACCCCACGACTGCCGCTCCAAATAGCGGGTAGACGGTGCGCGTCAGGCTACAAACACTAGTCCTTTTCGCAATCCCGTCTCCGAGTCACTGGAGGGATGGAAATATATGACGCACTTGCCGAAGAGCGCAGATCCCTCTGAATTGCGCGTGGCCCTACCCCGCGGCTTTGAAATTGTTCTGTAGTGAAGGGGGTACTTCGCTGATGCCTATCATATCCCCTTCTTCACCCTTTTATTGGGGCTGAGCGTACGAATATTTAGGATTCCAGTACTTAGGCGACCAGGTCACAACCTTGTAAAGGGTCGATGGCGTAGCTGGTTATCGCATCTGTCTAACATATGATATTCCTATATTCATGTGTTCACAGAAGGTCCTCAGTTCGAACCTGGGTCGACTCATGGGTGAATTATATGGAGAGTTTTTCATGGTGCTTTTTAAATTTTGGCTCAAGAGTCACTAGTCAAGAGTCAAGAGTCAATACTGGTGGTCCAACAGTAAACTTTGAGGTACGGACAAGAGTTGTATATATGCATGCATGCGACCTAAAGTGCCTATACCTTTTTTCGCCCTTCCCTATTTCGTGTTCATGTATTTCCTTTTTGGGACTCGGACTCCTTCAGGTCCTACTGCCATCACCCGGGCTCGGGTTGAGGTTTGATCATCTCGCGGCGCGTCATGAGGGGTATGAAGGTACGCGACCTTTGGGGCTTCGAGTTTGAGCCTAGTGCGCGGTGGGCTCTTCGTCGCGTCATCTAGCTTCGAGTCATATCCCCGCGCATCCACGGCTCTCGTTTCAACGCCTTTTCAAAACATCCGGATTCCGATGCCTTCCTCTCCCAAAACCGTACACATGTACTTTTCCTCCCGATACAAACTTGACTTGTACCACTCTCTGCAAGCTGCGTTCCTCAAAAAGATCGGACGCGTCTGGTGCTTTGGATTGAAGGCGTCGAGTCGCGAGCGGAGGGGGCTTTAGAGTGAGAGATATTGAGCTAGTTGACGCTGGATCGTGCATGGATGGAGGACTCTGGAGGACAAGGCGCACCGCATCCGCACCCTTCCTCCGAGTCCAAAGTCGAGGAGCGTCGCGATCATATCACTCCCAAAGCAACGGGAACATGTACAAATGCAGCCATCGAGTTACGCGACTTGCTGGTGCGGAGCGGAATACGATGAGCAGGTGTACGCAACCTCAGCGTCGTCCCGAATTTATGACCCCGCTCTCGGATTCCCTCTGCCTCTTTTTCACCGCATCTGGTGTCCTCCGAGTCTCCCAGCACCGAGCTGTGTCTTCTCACGCATCCTCATTCCTCCCGACTCGGATACAAAACACATGCCTCCGAGTCTCTGGTAAGCATCTCGTTTTCAAGACATTCTCCGGTAAGCCCCATCCATCGGTGAACTCGCTCAAGTGTACATCTACATTCCCTGACGCGACGAAATAGACATACTTGGTGAGTACGCGCTCCAAATAGTGGGCAGATGATCTGCATCGGGCTGCAAATGCTAAGTTTTTTTTTGCAGCCCCGTCCCGGAGTCTCTGGAGGAAGGGAAATATGTGACGTACTGGCAGGAGAACGCAGATCCTATTATGTGCGGTCCTACCCCGCGGTGTAGCAACACTGTCTTGCATTCACATGAGGGGTGCGCTGCTGATACCCCTCATATAGCCTTCTACACTCTTTCAATGGCGCTGAGCGTACGAATATTTGGGATTCCAGTACTCGGGAGACCAAGTCATGCGATGATAGCATCATATCGGGTCGATGGTGTAGCTGGTTATCGCATCTGTACACCGAAAGTCCTCAGTTCGAACCTGAGGCGACTCATCACCCAATCAAATAATTTTTTTCGAACTAGATATCAAAGCTTGAATCTTACTTGAGTTTCCAAGCTCGCGCGTTTTTGATTTCTGGACGGTCGGCCTTTTTGACTTTTGGGACTATTTGAATGATTTTGGAGACTATCAGTAGTTTGTGAAGATATCTTAGTCGTAGTACTGGAACCTTGTGCAGTTACCCACAGCGCCTTGCTCTTCCTGTAGACGGGAACTTAGCAAGTCCTTGAGTCGCTGCCTTTAATCGGCTTTTGCCGAACAGTACGTCACCCTGCCAAGGGAACAAAGAGGTCCTTGTACTCTTTTGTTTATTGTTCTCGTATGGCACGTATAAAACCCTCGCCGCGCACAATGCTCCCCACCCCTTCTTCTTCTTCTTCCATCCAGCCTGGCGCTCCTTGTCCGTGTCCATGATGCTCTCCTCCATTCTCTTCATCTCCGCTCTCTTCTTCTCCTCAGCGCGCGGTGCGCCGACAGCCTCCCTCGACGCCTCCGCCCTCCTAGCGAACGGCCAGGCTGCCCAGTCCCAGAACGTCGCCTTCCAGAGCCTCTCTGTCAATGATACGTGCTCTAGTGTGTCTCTTCTGTCCTCTGGCTGTTCTTTCATTCTGATGTGCTTGTTCTTCTAGCGGGCGAAGTAGCGTGTATATCCAATGAAGTGGCACAGTGTGCGGATAACCAGTGGGCAACGTCGCCCTGCTCGGGCTCGGCGCAGTGTTTTGCCCTCCCGTCTGTGAGAGGCAACGGGACTGTGCGTGGCTTGTCTTTTTCGTTCGTTGAATGCCTCGGGCTGACGTTTGAGTGTGTAGTTCTTGCAGTGCACGAGCGAGAAGGACGCGGTTTCCGTGATTGACGCTTCGGGCGCGACTGGCGGCATCTTTGGCAATGGCACCGACACGTCCGCGTCCGCGTCCACCTCCACTTCCAATTCCACCTCCGCGTCTAATTCCACTGCGACGAGTGCTGCCAACTCCACGGACACCGCGTCCGGCACGTCCGCCGTCGACGACAGCGGGGTCGTCACAGTGACTGTGACCCTCACTCCTACTGCGACGGTGTTCGTGAGCACCGAGGTGCCCGTCATGACGACGCTCTCCCCCGATGAGGCCTCGAGTCTCCTCGCGAGCTTGACGGGCGTGGCTGGGGGTTCGGTTGTCACTGCTTCCCCGGCTGTGGCTGCGAGTGCCACTGCCACTGATGCGGATGTGGCTGCTTCGGCGTCTGCGTCTACGATAATGACTCTCGTCCCTGCTGCTGCTGCCACTTCAGCTTCATGATGCCCCTTATTTTTTTTATGAACGTCACGGATAGATAGTAACTGGTTTACTACGAGGATTTGTATTGTACTGTATCATAGGTCTAATAGAGGACAAGCATCAGACTGGATGACACCCGTACCACGGACGAGTCGACGATTAATGCCGCATACATCGGCAACGGGAAAGCACAGTGCACTGGATATCTTCTGCATTACGTGCCTACATCAGAACACTCTCACCTCTGAGGGTTTTGACTCTTGATTTCGGCAAAGGGTGTTGCTCCAGATTAACGTAAAAATGATGGACGCAACCAACGATTGAGTCGAACCAGGCTCGAACTGGTAAGTGCGCGCGGGCAAGCATCTGTACCATCGACTCGTAGTCGAATAAGGGACCCGGGGTCAGATGAGAAGCACCGTCGATCCAAGGTCCAGAGAAGTGCGTAAGTAAGTGAAGAGGGCGGTCTTTCCCTCGGAGCCCGCATGGAAATGAGATATGGCTACAACGTCACGGTGGAGCTCTGGGTGAGTGATTGGGAGCGCACAGGGCCAAAAATCACGAATATGGTATCAAGACTATTGAGCCAACCCAGGTTCGAACTGGGAATCAGCGACCTTGAAGCAGCTGTACCATCAGCCCACAGAAGTGCGAGAGGTTCAGGCGTTTAGAGAGATCCCAACTAGGGATTGATGCGACGGGGAGCTCGCGGATTTGATTCTGCAGGTGCGAGTGGCAGGCATTGTGCGGATTGTGGGCGTCTGGCAGCTATTAACTCTCTGGTCCCGGACCTAAATCCAACAAGTCAAAAGTCGAAATTTGAGTCTTCGTTGTGATTGCGTGCTCGAGCCTCGAAGAACCGAACCACTCAGCGCTGGGCAAAACGATCAACAGCCGAGACGTTAGAACTTGATGATTGCAATGCGTCCCGGTCCGACTTCGACCTTGACAAGTCACTCGCCTACTGAGCAAAATGGATTCAAGTACTTCGAATGAGTCGACCCAGATTCGAACTGAAGATGTATGCGATAACCAACTATACCATCGACTCGACAAGCAATTATTGAGCTGGATCATGATTATACTCATCTGCAGTTGTGTTCGCGTTACCCGAAATTTGCCCATCATACGAACAGAAACTCACTAAAAATTCACGGTTGGCACTCGAAAAGACAGCGATACGACGTACTGAAATTTCAAGCAAACTGAAGGACCACGACATGAATTGTTCCTAGCTACGAAGAGTAAAGTTCAGGACCTCATTGTACGTAGTAAGTGAATATAAGAATCGGGATATTGCGGTTGAGCGCAAACGAGACACGGAACTGAGTAGAGACCTGAAGTTGAATTCAGGAAGAAAGATACGGACGAGAAGTGAACGTGGTAGGTAGAAACATGTAATCAAGAACAAAGAATCAATATTTTTTTTGGACTCTTGAATAAGGATGCTGCCGGTAGATAACGATGAATGTGTTAAAAGGGTGCTAGCTGAGCGCGCTGACAAATGCAGATGGTCAGTGAGGGAAAGCTTTTGGAGTGCTACAACCAGACATACAGTCGTGGGATGCCATCAAGAGATTTGAACGGCAACAATGATCTCAGTACGGATACGATTTGCGTTCGCACTATTAATCGAGATATTTCCATCTTCGAATATTACGGTGAACACGATTGAGTCAATGACCCTGAGCTCGTAATTTCCTTCAGTGACGAAAGTTGTCTTTTCACCACTGGGGATGACCGCGGAGAAGCCGGAGGGGGTGGCGACTTCTGCGGACAAGCCCCCATTGTTGGTGATAGTAAAATTCGTGACCTTTGGAGCCAAAGTTTCAGCAGCTTTCAAGGACATTCTGGCGAGAAGTCTTTGTCAACCTCGTAGGCGGGGTTTGCAATGCTGCCTACGTACCTTAAAAGTGGAGTAGGGCGTTGGACACTGTTAGCGAAACGAAGGGTTATGAGCAAGACCGAATGAGAGAGGAAGGTGACATACAAGTTGACCGAGGATGTAGGAGAGGGTTGTTGAAAGGAGTGATGTGGGGGAGAGCTTATATATCTTAGCAAACGGAAATTTACTCAAAATCCTAGCAGCATTTGGTAATCGAGGAAATGCACATCGGAGATGCTTCTTTGTAGACCTGAGTTCAACAGAAATAGTGAATGTCTGAGAATTAACTATGCTCGCAACCTTTCAAGGCCGTATTCTACCCCGGTGAATGTGTAGCATGACCCTATCAGTAAAAAATCAATCCCCGTTTTTTCGGTGCGAGAAACCGTGAATGCAGGAGAAGATCAATTGGACGCGCCG